CCTCCTCCTCCTCTTCCTACTCCTCCTCTTCCTACTCCTCCTCCTCCTACTACTACTACTACTACTTCTCCTCCTCCTCCTCTTCCTACTCCTCCTCCTCTTCCTACTCCTACTCCTACTCCTATTCATTTCGCTCGACCTCCTCCTCCTACTCCTTCTCTCACACCAGCACCACCCTCTTCCCCCTTTTCCTCATCTGTATACTGCTTCTACTACTTCTTCTCCTGCTCTTCCTTGTCCGTCTTGACTTTTCCTCGTTTCTCCTTTCCTCTCTGATCTCTTCTTAGCTCCAACCTCTTCTTTCCCGTAGGGTTCGTGGTCGCGGAACGAGTGCTCTACCTCCCTTCCATCGGCTACTGCCTCATGCTCGCGATGACTCTCTTCCAACGGGCCCCGACGCTTTCAAGTGACGAGGAGAAGCTGCAGCAGCAGGGGAAAGGAAGAAAGCTCTATGCCAGTTACTTCTTCTTCCTCCTCCTCCTCCTCCTTTACTTCCTCCGCACTTGGTGGAGGAACCAGGACTGGCAGGACGCGATTTCACTGTGGTCCGCAGGAGTTCGTGTGATGCCTGTGCGTGAGCGAGAGAGGGAGGGAGGGAGGGAGGGAGGGAGGGAGGGAGGGAGGGAGGGAGGTTGTCAGGGGAGAAGAGAACAAGAGAAAGCAGGAGATAGGAGACGATTGATCACTGAGAGGGCAGCAGGAGAATCCGAAGCACCTGTATGGCCTTGGCTTTGCCCTCGCTCAAGCCGAACAGCACCAGCATGCCGTCAAGGTCGAGCGAGTGAGGAGGTGGTGGATGCTGATGGCTGGTAGAGTAGGCGCTGAAGGCGGCGGTTCGAATCCGACCAGACTACGCGGAGGTGAGGGGGCAAGAGGGACAGGGCGAGACACGGCTAGGCAGGCCAGGCAGGAGGCAAATAGTATTCAGGGCTGCAGGGATAAGGAAGGGGTGGAGGAGAGATGGGAGATGAGATGGGAGAAGAGATCGGAGAAGAAACAGGAGAGTCACCCTGTGAGCAGGCCTACTACAGCTTGGGCGCAAGTTTCTACCAGTGGAGCGAGCAGGAGGAGGGCAAGGAGAAGAAACAACATCTCTTGCTTGCGGAGAGATCTTTCAAGATTGTTCTCAGACTCAATCCCAACCATGTACTCGCTCCCGGCTCCAACCTTTTGCCTCTCTCTCTGCTCCTCCTAGTCCTTCAGCTTCTCTCCTCGTCTCTCGGTCTGACTTTCGCTCGCGCCAGGTCGCTGCCTCCTACAACCTCGGCACCACCCTTCATCGCATGGGCAAGTTTTCGCTCTCCGTCGACTCTCTCCTGCTGGCTGCCAGCTTAGATCCCTCGCACGAGGACGCTTATTTCAACATGGGAGCCTCGCTCTGGCAGATGGGCCGCATGATGGTGACTTTCGCCCTCATGCTCCTGCTGCTGCTCCCCTCGTTCCTCCTCCCCGTCAGTAGCCATCACCTTTTCTGACTTCCCGTCCTCCATCAACCACCACCACCTGCGTCTTCCACTGGCTCTTTCCCGTCAACTCCCCTGCTCTCTCCCTGACTCTCGTCTCGTCCCAGGATGCATCCTCGGCATATCGTCAGACACTCCAGCTGAATCCGGTCAAGGCAGACGCTTACTACAGCGACGGCCTCTGTCTGGGTGCGATGGGGCACCCTGAACAAGCCCAGCAGCGCTTCTCTGCTGCCCTCAAGCTCGACCCCCAGCACGTCGACGCTCTGTTCAACCTTGGGATCTCCCATGCGCAAATGAGGAGGTGAGATGAGCCCAGCAGCAGCAGCAGACGTAGAAGAACAAGAAAAAGAAGAAGAAAAAGAAGAAGGAAAAGAAGAAGGAAAAGAAGATGATTCGCACTGATTGGAAACAGGGAGGAGACGAGAAAATGACAAGGACGGCAGGTATGGAGAAGCGCTGTCGCTATTTCAGAAGACAATGCAGTTGAATCCTCAACATCCTTCAGCTGAGAAGAACGCGCAAACATGTCAGAAACTTTTGCAGTGACGCCTCTGCTGCTTGTACAATATGCAAATAGCCAAACATGTAGATGAAAAACAAAACTTCCTTATTCTGCTTCCTGTTCTTCCTCTGGCTACTTTTGTGCTTTGCTCTCCCATTCTTTCGCCATTTCTTCATCAGCCGGTACTCCTTCGCCCTGATATCAAACTTTGTGAGAAACGTTTGGAGCTTCGAACCAAGACCTTGCGGTACATGGCGGCGAGCTGAAGCATGGCCTGCTCGACTTTTACATCAGTAGGAAGCACGGGAGGAGCAAGTCAACCAGCTTCTGCCCCTTCCCTGCTGCCTCCTTGTACCACCTCATCGCTTCCTCTGCGTTCTTGTCTGTCCCGAGTCCTGGACGAGAATAAGGAGAGGAAGCCAAAGGCAACAGCTCGCCTGTGTGATAGCAGTATCCAACATTGAATTTCGCCATGTCAAAATCCTTCTGAGCCGCTTGTAGTGACCTGCAGTCACAAACAGTGAACAGGGAGGAGGTAGAGCAAGAGAAACAACCATCTGAAGCCTTCAGACTCATTCTTCACCTCATCTACAAACCTCTATCATCTCATCATCATCCTTTTCTCGACATCTCACACCAGCACTGAGAAGAAGAGTTCCCAAATTACACATGCTCTCCACCAATCCTTGTTCTGCGGCTCTTGTATACCTGCAAGGCCAAGACACGATCAAAGGCAGGAAAGCATAGCAGCAAGTCTACCACAACACTGCTTCCTTCAAGTTCTTTTCTACTCCTTCACCGTTGGCAAATTGAACGCCCACGTTGTACTAAAACTCGTCACATGCTTGCTTTCAAAACGTGAAACTTCACCTGTGCAGAAGCCTTTCCCTGATTGCCGATGTCAGATGTTGCAAGAACGCAAGAACAAGCAAGGGATACCTGTTTCGCGGCTTTGAGCATCCATTCGTGAGACTTCTTTGCGTCTCTCTTAAGCTGAGAGGGCCCAGCTATGAGTACTCGCAAGTTTCTCCTCCTCGTCATCCTCTTCCTCCTCTTCCTCCCTCTTTCCTTTAAAAACACAAGCATCGCGCCCTTCCTCCGCACATCCTCACCTTCATCCCCCCAAAGTTATACGCAGCAGCAAGAGCGTACTGAGCATCTGCAAGGCCAGCGACTGCTGACTTTCTGATACTAGAGGGAAGGAAGGTGAGACTAGAACGAAGCTCTTCTCTCTCACAGCTCGTATCCCTTGGACGGGCTCGCCGATATCCCCCTTCCCTCCGCTATCAGAACACCCAGATTGTACGTTGCTCTGCAAGAAATCATCATCATCATCATCCTCACCATCACCATCATCTTCTTCTTCTTCTTCTTCTTCTTCTTTTCTTCTTCTTCTTCTTCTTCTTCTTCTTCACCATCTTCATCTTCTTCATCATCATCATCACCTCCATCATCACCATCATCATCATCATCACCATCACCATCACCATCACCATCACCATCACCATCACCTCCATCATCATCATCATCACCTCCATCACCATCATCACCACCACCACAACCATCATCCTACTATCACCATCAGCATCATCAGCACCATCATCACCATCCTAGTTGACCTCGTCCTCAACGGAAGCAGAATCGTCTTCCTCCTCCGCTCCCTTGTCATCATCACCATTCATCTTTCGCACTCACAGCCAGTTTCCCTTGTCCGATGCCTTACGGAAGAGCTCGGCAGCTGCTGCCTCGTCCTTCTTTCCCAGCTTCCCTTCCAACCACAAGATACCAAGGATGGCGCTCGCATCGCCCAGGCCCTGCCAGGAGCACATGAGCTGATGCTGAGCGGGGGGTCAGCATCAAACCGACCGCTGCCGACGCTTCCTCAAGGTATGGCTTTGCCGCTATGGGATCCGCCTTCATGTTTCCTCGCCCCTCCAATGCCCACAATCCCATAGCAAGCTGTCGTGTCTCAGCAACAAAGACCGAGGGTACAAGAGCAGGAGAATGAGAAGGAGATAGAGCAGGAGCAGGAGATAGAGCAGGAGCAGGAGATAGAGCAGGAGAAGGAGATAGTGCAGGAGCAGGAGATAGTGCAGCAGCAGGAGATAGAGCAGGAGAAGGAGATAGTGCAGGAGCAGGAGATAGAGCAGGAGAAGGAGATAGAGCAGGAGCAGGAGATAGAGCAGGAGCAGGAGATAGTGCAGGAGCAGGAGATAGAGCAGGAGCAGGAGATAGTGCAGGAGCAGGAGATAGTGCAGCAGCAGGAGATAGAGCAGGAGAAGGAGATAGAGCAGGAGCAGGAGATAGAGCAGGAGAAGGAGATAGAGCAGGAGCAGGAGATAGTGCAGGAGCACGAGATAGAGCAGGAGCAGGAGATAGAGCAGGAGCAGGAGATAGAGCAGGAGAAGGAGATAGAGCAGGAGCAGGAGATAGAGCAGGAGCAGGAGATAGAGCAGGAGAAGGAGATAGAGCAGGAGCAGGCACCTTCGACTCAGCATTTCCTTTCGCAGCAGACTGAGCCCTCCGGTCAAGCTGAGAAGGGGAGGAGGCACGCGAATCACCTTCTTAAACCATTCAGCTGCTGTCACGTCGCACTTTTCCACGTCTCGTCCCATCGCGTAGCACATCCCCAGCAGGACCATGGCCTTGTCGTCCTGCCCCAAACGTCAGGGCAGCAGCTCTAACTTATCCTGTCATGCCTCCTTGTCGACCGCTGCCTTCTTGACCTGATCGAAAGCGCCAAACTGTGACAGCTGAAGAGGAAACGCTCGTGAAAACTGCCAGACCTCAACTCAAGGTCACCTTCTTCGACAGCCTGTTGCTCAGCCTTGCCCGCAAACATTCAGTACGACAGAAGAAACATAACCATAGGCAAGATGATGAGAGGAGGTTCAGCAGGAGTAGAGCAGGAGAGCAGGAGAGCAGGAGAGCAGGAGAGCAGGAGAGCAGGAGAGCAGGAGAGTGGTTTCGGCAGCAGGGAGAGGAACAGGTTTGTCCTCACCAGCTCGTGCTCCCGTACGACAACCCTCGCCGCTGCATCCCTCGAGCAAATATTCGCAGCATTGCGACCTCGACCCCGATAACCCTCATACATCCCGCAACCTGTTTATGCCGGCATGGAAGGGTGACGACGGGGAGGAGGAGCAGGAGGAGCAGGAGCAGGAGCAGGAGGGATCCAGTGATCGCAACTCTCTGACGAGCCCTGTCACTCCTCTCACTCCAAGTCACCAGCATGGAGAGTGGGAGGATGCAGGGGAAGCGATCACGCCGTCAGAGGACAGGGACGGATTCGGGATGTACAGGCATCCCGCTGTCGATATGGAAGGAGGAAGGATGCAGGCAGCCATCACATCTTTCCTCATCCTCTCCGTGTACTACCGAACTCTCTCTCCTTCCATCTCGGGAGGAGACTCAGGGGAGGTCATGGCGGCGGCATGCAGTGGAGGTCCTGCGCACCCTCCGGGGTATCCGCTGTTTGTGTTGCTAGCTCGAGGAGCCATGAGCTTGTTCGCCTCACTAGGAGAGAACAAGGCGTACCGAGTGAACCTCATGTGCGCCATGCTGACAGCAGCAGGGGTTTACCATCTCCATAGAGCAGCGCGAGTCATGACAGGGAGCGACTCCTCTGCTACGTTGGCGTCTGCCATGTACGGACTATCGCCTCTCATCTGGAACAACGCGCTACAGGCAGAAGTGTTTGCCCTCAACAACTTCTTCGTGTGTCTGCTCACCAACCTGTTGGTTCGATACCTCGCGAGGGATCGACCGTCAGCCACTCGCGTTGCCTTCACCGGCGCTTTCGTTGTCGGCCTTGGCTTGACAAACCAGCACACCCTAGTGTTGTACTGTGCGATAATAGTCCCTTCCGTCTTGTTTTCTGGCTGGCGACAACTTCTGCTCCCCTCCAGCATCCTCAAGTGTACAGCGCTGCTCCTCCTCGGCCTGACCCCCTACAGTCACATGTGGTGGTTGGAAGGCTGCCCTATCCCTTGGGCTGAGAAAGAGGGACACAGCTTGGGAGGTTTGTGTCTTGTCGTTTCAAGTTTCTTGATCTTGACAAGTCGTCTTGTGATGGAATTATGAGTGCAGTCAAGTTTTGTCCTCAATTCGAGCATGTACCCCAGGTAAGGAAGGGTTGCTCTGGTTTGATCATCTAACCTTGATTGCTAGTATTCCTGGGGAGATCGGAGGTCTTTTCAGGGGTTTTTGAATCATTTTTTGAGGAAGGATTACGGTGAGAGATAAGAGAAGTCTTCTACGTTGCTCTCCACAGAGCCTCTCCTCTGCTCTCCTTGCAGCATATCACATCCCTTTCCTGCCCTTCTTTCCAGCTTGTCTCCCTTTCCTTCTTCCATCGTCTCATCTTCCTCGCAGGCACTTTCGTGCTCGCAGCGGGAGGAACAGAAGTCCACGGGAAGCCAGTAAGTCCGGCACCCAGCCATGCGAGCGTGTGAGACCTTTCAAGGTTTCTCTGCTGGAGGGGATCAGATTTTACCTCGAGGACATAGCTGGTCCTCGGCTGGACGAGAGGCGAAGAGGTAGAATGGTTTGCGAGATTTTAGCATGAGCGGTCGGCAGGTCACACCAAGACTTACGAGGGGCAATTGATGTACATCGGGATCCCTTTCGCTGTTGTTGGTTGTTGCCCGAAGTCTTGAACGAGCTCCAGAGTCACTCCCTTGCTCTATTTCCAGGACTCATCCTCTGCCTGTACGGGCGACCGCTCCAGAGAAACCTCGCAGGTCAGCTCGCATGCCAAGCCCTTCTGTACCATGACTTCCTCTCAGCTGGGCGAGTGCTGGTCATCTGCTATCTGTTCTACATCATCGTCTTTCACTCGCTGGCAAACCTCCCGATCAAGGTTCTTATCCTCGAGGCCCCCCGCAGCTGAGAGCCTGCTAGGTCCCTCTCTTCCTCGCCGTCCATGCTCGGTTCTGGCAGATGCCCAACTCCACTCTCTTCCTCTTCGTGGGCATCGGATTTGAGTTTCTCTCCCGGAGATTCGCAGACAAGGCTTTCGCACTTTCCGTCAGATGGGCGATCGTTTGTCTCTGTGTGTGGCTTCAGTTCGTGAAGAACTTTGACAAGCAGGATCAGGTGATGAATCTGTTGGCTGCCTGTCTCACTCTGACGCGCGTCATAGTCAGGGAACTATGCCGTCGAGTTTGTGACGAGGACCGCGATAGAGACGCTACCCCCCAACGCCATCCTGCTCTGCTCGGGAGACCTCCAGGTCTGTCGCTCCCTACCTAGTCGTCTCCTCACTTTCTCTAGTTCAACCCGGGACTCTACCTCACAGTCTGTGAGAACGTTCGGCCAGACGTCCGTTTCATGTCTCTCCAGCTCATGTCCTACAGGTGGTACGGCCTCAACAGGTAACAAGCTCTCTCCCTCTCTCTACCTGTTTGACCGCTGCGTCTCAGCTCAATCAAGTGGCCGGGCGTTGTCTTCCCCGGCAGAAGCCACTGGCCGGACAAGTACGGATACTCTCTGCAGAAGTTTTACGACGCAAACATCTGGGACCGGTAAGGCCCAGATGCAAGTTCAGCTAAAGTCCAGCTGCAACGAGTTGAACTTTGTGATAGTCCGATCCATTCGTACGGAGGGAATAGACCAGCTGAGAACCTCGAGAAGCTTCTCGAGGTCTCGAGAACGCGCTGGAGACTTCGAAACGTGACGGACTTGTCAGGATCCCAGCTTGAATGAAGACCAATTCTTTCATTTCACGTGGGGATTGACAGACAGGATGGTGAGAATGCTGGCAGAGAGAGAGAGAGAGAGACAGAGACAGAGACAGAGACAGAGACAGAGACAGAGAGGGAGAAAGAATGGCTGACGTGGAGAGCGAGAGCGAGAGCGAGAGCGAGAGCGAGAGCGAGAGCGAGAGCGAGAGGGTTAGAGTCTTGACCGTTTGACTTGCGGGGATCAGATTCCAACTCAAGTTGAGAAGATCAACATCCACCAGTATGCAAGATGCCATGCCAAGGTAAAGGCAGCGTCTGACTCTCTCGCTTGCTTCGTCGTGCCTGACACCCTGGTGCCCTTGCAGGCGTTCGCACCCATGGAGGAGTGGGAGAAAAACGGGTCACTTCCTGACTTGCTCAAGGTGAATAAAACAGGACAAGCGATGCATTGAGAGCCCTGACAATAAGGGCAGTACGGTGAAGACACGTGGGAGGATCAGGTGGTGAGGGAGTTCTATATCACCTACCATCGCTTCGGCCACCAGCTCATGGAATACTATCGAACTCTTCCCGGTACTTGCCCGGCACTTCCTCCCCCGCTCTCCCCGACCTCCTTCAAATCCTCTGATCAACCTCTTCTCTCCCTCCTCATCCATCCCCTTCGCCTCTCCCTCTTCTGATCTCTGCCCTTTCCGTCTACCTCTCCTCTGTTGCTCTTGCCGACGTCAACCAGGCGAGACGTGCGGAGGAGCATGTCCTGAAGGATGCGACTGCGACTACTCCATGGGAACGACGTTGGCGCTGGCGCGACATTCGTATCAGAAGCTGGGGGATGCATACAACAACTACACAGCATGGGTGAGAGAAGAAACACAAGGAGGAGAGGGGGGAAAGAGACTGGAGGGAGGGGAAGAGGAAGGAAGAAACTGTACAGGGAGGCAAGTGAAGAATGGAGGAAAGAAGGGGGAGGAAGAAAAGCTGAGAGGAGGGAGAGGGTTGGAGGGCAGCGATCACAGTCATTTCCTCGTCCAGGGTTTGGAAGTTCCCTTCAACTGGGATGGAGCTGTCCATCAGAACCTTGGAACCATCGATGAATACGAGGGGAACGCGGTAAGTGGGGAGGGGAGGGGAGAGGAGAGTAAGAGAGAGCAGAGCAGAGAGTTTGGGTGGGGGGAACGGGTGGATGTGGAACAAAACGGAAGGCGGAGGGAGAGGAAGGACCAGGAGGATGAAGATGCAAGCAGGTGGGGATGTTGTATAACTGGTGGAGATATCTTGACCACAAAAAGGACAGCGATATTCTGTCCAACGTGATCAGGTCTCTTCCTCCTCTCCCTCCTCCCTCCCTTCCTTCCTCCAGTCACCTCACTTGAGCATCTTCCGCTTTTTCCCCCTTCCCCTCCTCCCGTCCTCATCTTTTCCTCCTCGCTCCCTCCCCTCCTCTTCCCCTCCCCTCCCCTCCTCTCCCCTCCCCTCCTCTCCTCCTCCCCTCCCCTCCTCCTCCCCTCCTTCCCCTCCCTCCTCCTCCTCCTCCCTCCTCCTCCCTCCCT